AACATACACAAAAACAACGTGTAACCTCCCACATCTGCATTGCCCGAGGCCATGGCCATGGAAGGGACGACCCCCACCTTGGGTCATCCAGCCGCTCCTACCTATCCGGCGACCAAGAGTACGGGCACAATACCCGGCTGGGGACAGGGATGGAAGATCACGATCTCCTCCGGACAGCTGAGGGCCTGTACAGCACCGGCGCCGCACCAGGCAACCGCCAAGCTCTTCCAGTGCTTGCGCAGCATCCCGCAGAGGCCAACCAAAGTTGCTGCGGACTCTTCCACAAAGCTACCTCCCTTGGCACAGCAAGAAAGAGTCTGCAGTTCTTATGGCGACGAGAAATACCAGCGAGCTCCGTCAGTGCAGAGCTGCAAACACTGCACCTTCTGTCCGCTAAGGTCCGAGGCATGGTGCTACCCATGGGACTCCTGGCAGGCCGCCGCCAAACTACCTACTGGCAGTCCTTGTCCTTCCTACCTACCAGGAGGAACCCCGGCTGCTCAGTCTTCATCCGATGCGGCCTCAGAAACGTCGTCACTACGCTCCTGCCAACATGGCAGCAATGTCCCGGAGCTGCAACGCGGAGACCGACCCCTCGAATCCCCACCGCTGCGCCCTCAGATGACAGTCCAGTCTGCGCCCATGTTAATGGAAGCCTGCCAATCAGTCGCATAAACCCTGACTGCTTGCCACCGGCTTCTCTACAGCTTAATCTGCAGTATCCTTCTGGTTCACTGCTGGGGCCACCATCCCCTGAACCTCCAGCTGCCATGGGAAAGAAGCAGCCGCGAGCTCCACCGGAGCCCCTGGATGACGCTCTCATATGCAAAGCTGATGAGCTTACTCCTGGAACTGATGTTGTGGTTGTGGGAGGCGCACACAGAAGGATTCATGGCTACCGAGCGGTCATCTTGAAAAGCAAGGCTCCAAGTACTACAACGTTCAACATTCGTGTGCTCCAAGGCACGGCGGAGGAGCGGCGCAAGATCTGGACCATCGATCAGGCCCATGTCAGGTACGGTCCTCAAGGGCAGGCGCAGGACGACGGATTGCATGCGTCTCTTCGCTGGCGCATGACGCCTCCACCACTGACTGTCTTTAGTGCCAGGTGGTTACTGGGGTGGCAGTCATTTTCCACCCTGGTTCCTCCGAAGCCGATTAAGAAAGGCGACAGCAATGAGGACCAGGAGCACGGGGAGTCCCCGACGGGGAGCAGCTTGAGAAGGTCACCGACCAGGACGACGGTGCAGCCCAGAGGGCGGTTGCTGTCAGATCCCCGAAGCTGAGGCCGACGCCCAAGCATAGGCAGAGCTCGCGTCCCTCGTCTACCGCAGCACCCCCTGCCTCTGCGCCACTGGATGATGAGGAGTGGGTGGAGATAGAAGTCGAGGCAGAAGAGCCCCTTGGCACAGCCACCGCCAGCTCAATGACTCGATCCCCCTTGCAGAACAGCGCACTACAAGGCCGCTGAGCCCTCCGCCTCGGGTAAGACCACAGGAGCAGCAGGACCTCGGGAATTTGCGAAGCCAAAGCCCAAGAAACGTCCTACTCCAGCACGTCCTGATCGGGAGATTGCTGAGATTGCTGATCCTGCACCCCCAGCTTCCGAGCCGATACACAAATTGCAAGGCCAGCCGGCTTGGAGCAGCGCAGGGGACAGACGGACGCCCAGTTGGAGCCTCTCACTGCTGCCTCTTCTGAGCCTGAGATGTCATTTCGGGCTGCCGAGACCGGGACCCTCCCAAGCTGTGCTGAGCCTGATGCGGACCCTGAGACACCCGTGGCAACCACCACTCCAGACTCCACACCTGCAGCTGGTGGAGACGGCAATGGAGAGCCCGGTATGCCCTCGACAGCTAAAAAAGACGGGGGCGAAGGACACCAGACTTTGGCGGAGCTCCAAGCGGACTGGAGCAAAGTCTGCTCGAAAAATGCCTGAGCCTACCCCGCCGCCTGAAAGGCCGCGAACCAGGCCTTTTTGGTTTCTCACCTCTGAGGACGAGAGGTCCGAAGAGCCTAAGAGACGGCAGCGAGACTCTCAATCGAGCCGAGCATACATGAATGCCCGCTGCAGGCGAAAGGGACTCCTGCTGCGCCTGTCCCTCTGCCCAGGCTGGACCATCTACTTGAAATGCCACTGCAGCCCGCCACCGGTGCTCTGTGTAGACTCGCACTGTCACCACCGTTGCCTGTTAAGTCATTGCCCAGGTACACCCTCATGCAAGACGAGAAGACGGCTGCCCTGGCCCTACTTCGCCAGCGGAGCTTCGACACACCCTTCTTACCTGTTGTGGGCTACCATCCACATCATCTAGGCCCTAGCAGCTACCTGACCTGGACGCTAAACTGCATGCCCAGATCCTGGCAGGCCCGAGGCTCTGGTATACCTCAGCTACAATGTTGGCCCACCTCAACAGGCGCGCGAGCCCCGCCGAAGACTCCGAGCTCCATCCCGGCCAGCACCCGGGCCTGCTCCTGCCGACTTAGCCCAGTCTCAGACAGCTGTGCCCTTCCAGGTCTGTCAACTTCACTGGCAGCAGGCATGGAACCACTCTCTGCCCTGATCGAGCCAGTATGTTGGGATCACCACGGCTGGCCAGACTGCTACCAAGATTTCACGATCTGCGCCGTACGCCAATGGTCGGGACCTCATCACACCCCCTCCTCAGTCTGGAACGGCTCGAGTCCACTAACAGGCTCGGCAGGTCACCGCCGGCACTGCCGTGGATCCGGGTATGTCCAGGCACGGATCCGCCCACAGGTAGAGATGCAGCCCATGGCCTGCAACTGCTCACCAGGTACCGAGCTGAGCCTGGGAGCCGCTTCTGGCAAGCACCAGGCCAGCGAGAGAGCAGGTCACCCTTGTCCACAAGCAGTCGTCGGGACAGGACTGTCTCCGCTACTGGCAAGAGGCCCCACCACATCTAGCCCATCCTCCCTGACACACGAGCTGCCAAACCGCGTGCGCAGGAAGATGACTCTGAGGGACCTCTCTTCTATCTGGCTAATCCGCGGTGCGGGGCCTGTCACCAGCACTAAAACCGCTTCCGTCCGATTACCTCTCGAGTCCTCTCAGGAAGCCAGGAGAGTCGTGGCAACAAAATGCCTCCACCCAGATACCCTCCTACCACCGCGGAGGCACTTGATCTCGAGGCTATGGACTGAGGCCCAGAACCCATGCACGGATGTCACGGCTTTCAGGGCTGCTGGGCACGGACCAAGGCTCGGAACTCAGCCACAACTCTCGCTTCCCTAAGACTGCATCCCTTGCGGAGAGAATGCACACAACACATCATCGTAATTCTCAGCAGAGCCTCTAGGTCCCAAAGCCGGAGGTCGACCCAAACACTTGTTGCCGAGCAACCACTTCAGTAGTCACAGGACCAGCGGGCACTCTGTGGCGAAAAGGTCGATTGGGGTGAGGGTCGGGAGTGACTGCCGCCCACTCTTGGAACCAAAGATCCCACTCGCTGGGTTCGGAGGGAAGCCGTGGCACGAGCTACATTACTGCCTCATCCCAACAGCCCCCATGCAGGAGTTCGAATTGACGTTGGCTCTGGCACCCCGCCGCCGGATCAGTCAAGGCTCCAGCAGACCCTGGAAACCCACAACTTAGTTCACCTCAACTCCTGGTGCAGGACCTCAGGGGCCACCTACGTGCACCCCAAAGGCTCTAGCCTCATTGATCATATGTTCATGCGCGTGGAACAAGCCGACAATCGGGCCAAACAGGCTCGTCCTAAGCCGTTGGGCCTGGCCGAATGGAGGCTTGGAGGCAAGCATCTGCCCGTGTTTGCCAGCTTCCCGCTTGTTCGATTCACGTGGCTCAACAAGCCCCCGGTCGTGAGGAGGACGTGGGATCACTGGGCGGTGGTGCAGCTTAGCAGGAATCCTGCTGATCCCCGATGGGGAGCACTTCGCCAGCGAGCCATGCTTCATACGGCTGATAACTTGGACTCCCTCAATCAACTTCTTGTTCGTTGTGCTACGGAGCTCTTCCCTGCTCCCGCCAGGACCCAACGCCTCGCTCCCTGGCAAACGCCTGCCATGCAGGGAGGCATCAAAGGCTTGTGGGCACACTATCGCCAGTGGAAACTCCTTGCCAGGACCCAACCGTTGGACCCGCTCCGAATTAGCCGCGCAAAACAAGCCTACAAACAGGCGCATCGCGATTTCCGGAAGGCGGGAAGGGAATGCAAGAAACAGTGGTACCAGGATAGAATCGGAGATCTGCAGAGGGCTGCCAATGCCCGCGACTCCAAAACCCTCTATGCTGGTGCGCGCTCCCTAGCCCCCAAACAGCACAGAGTTAAAGTGCAACTCCGGGACCCGCAAGGCAGACTTCAAGACCCCGCTGATCAACTCAAGCAGCTGGACAGGCACTACCGTCAGCTCTATGCTGCGGACTCTGATCCCACGGCTGCAGGCTCGCCTCGTGGCGAAGTCCAGTTGGATATAGATCCCGACGAACTGGCTGCTGACTTGGCTGCGCTCTCCCCTCACAAAGCCACCCCGCCGGATCTTGACTCCAATGCTCTGTGGCGCATCGCCTCAGATGTTGTAGCCCCGGTGATTGCTCGCTGGGCCAGGGCGTGGACAAGCATCCCCCAGCTGTGGAGGAATGCGTGGCTTGTCTTGGCGCCCAAAATCCCTCGACCGTTATCCCCGAAAAATTTGCGGCCGATAGGCCTGACCGAGTCAAGTGGGAGAGCATACGCCAGATTGCTCCAGGTACGACTAAAGCCTCTTTTGCCATGGCCATTCAACGGGTTGCTGCCCGTTGCAGGTATGTGGAGCAGAAGTGCTCGCATGCCACTCGCACAGTGGCAGATCGCCAGGAGTGTCTACCAGCCGCCGCCCCCAGCTTTGCGGGGATCCAACTGTCACTGGATCTTTCCAGTGCCTTTGACCTTGTCAGGTGGCAATTGCTGGACAGGGCTATGTCCGAGGCGGGGGTACCGACGGAGCTCCACAATGAGGTAATGTCGTGGTACTATCAAATCTGCAACCTGGTGGAGCACCTAGGCAAACGCACGCAAATTACTGCCCAACAAGGCCTGCGACAGGGCTGCCAATTAGCCTCCACCCTGTGGGCTGTAGCTGTGGGTTGCATCTACAAGCAAATCCAGGATGGCCCGAAACCAGCTACCACGCAGACCTGGCTTCGGGCCAACTCCACCACCTATGCCGACGACATACACCTCAAGGAAACTGCGACCACCACCTCTGGTCTGGACAAGGCCCTTCACAGATTTGGACTAGCGCTTGATGCCCTGGCAGGGCAAGGGGTGGTCATCAATGCTGGCAAATCAGCCTTCCTGCTTAGACACCGAGGGTCCTTCATCAAAAAGTGGAGGCGACGCCACTACCTCTCTACGTCGGAGGGTGACCTCCTCGTTTTTCGCACTCCGGGAGGCACCGAATACCGCATTCCTTTGCGCGAGCAGCACACCTACTTAGGTGTCCGGATCTCATACCACGCCATGGCCAGCCACACTGCGCTGCACCGAATTCAGGCAGCAAACGCAGCATGGCAGCGTCTGAGGCGTATCTTGTGCTCATCCAGACAGCTCCAGCTGAGTGCTCGAGTCTCGCTTTGGAAGGCGACTGTGCTCCCGACTTTGCTATATGGCCTAGCAGCTGTGCGATTAGGACTGAAGGATATTGGGCGGGTACAGGCCCTCATCATCAAACAGGCCCGAGCCATGGCACACTCCTATGCTCACTTACAGCAGGAGTCGACCAGAAGCATGCACGACCGCTTGCAGGTGCCCACAGCCTTGGAATGCATCCTGAAGGAAACCACTGCCCTTCACAACAGGCTCTGTCTACTGGGAGGCAATTCTGACTTTGTTCGGGACTCAGATGTAGAGGATATCAGAGAACAAGCAGCAACTCTCCAAGCCTCGAAGGAGGCACAGTGGACCGCCCCTGATGATATGCAGCCCTCACGCTCCGCTTCGGGTTGTATCCCAATTGCCTTGGAGGGCCCTGCTTGGAGACTGGAGGCAGCTGCATCGACAGCACGATGCTGCAGAGCTTGTCACCTACCTGCTCCCGAGGTTCTCCAATACAAGGTTGGAGGCGAGTTGGGAGGCTCGACTTGACACCGTGCAGGGCATACATAAGCAGGATGGAGGAGAGCTCATTTCGCCCATCATCATGGCTCTGCAGGCAGGGGTCGATCTGAACCTACAACTGGTGATAGATCAGTGGCACTCTCAGGCTGCAATACATGCTCTCACCGGCGCCCCCACCTACTTATGCATACAACTGCAAAGGTGCACTGGGGATTCAAGTGGCCTGCAGCGGGACTACAGGCCACTACATGGGCACAGATCGCCTGTTCGGCTGCCCTGCTTTGATGCGGGAGATAGCATCAGCTGCTCCTGGACCCTGTATCAGGCGGCTGCAGCACAGCTCCATTTTGGTATTATCGATCAGTGCTGTATGGGCAAAAGGAGTTTGGGC